CATTGGGATTGTGGATTGGTTGCATAACATCTGAAGTAAGGATGTGATAGAAGCAGGACTGTGCAGCAGATCGTAGATGATGCCGATCACAGAAGGGTTGGCAGATAGAGCCCCTGCACACTACCATTGAGAGCCTCCAGCATCTGCTTCCATGAATCTGGCTTGCTAGGATGGAAGTCCATAATGGCATTCTTGACCATATCTAACAAAAGTATCCTCTCCCTCCATCATCATCATCGGGGCAGTGTATTTCCACAAGGATATCCCGTAACCTACGTTACCTGGCACACCTCCCATAATCTTCTGTACACAGTATACTACCCATCGTACCATTGCACATTGTCTGAGGCAAAGAGAAAATTCCGAGAGCAGCTGCTGCAGCAGCAGCAAGAAGGAGAGCACGAGGACTAGAGTGTCTTCCCTACCTGACAACCCATTGTGAGTAGATCTTCTGGCTGATAGGCACTCTAGATTCTTTGATATCAAAAGCAACCAGCCTATACAAGCGGAATCGTACGTCTAATGGTGGACCTAGGGAGGGACCATTGATGATAAGCAGCTCATATAGTGGCCAGGATCGACTTACATATCTTATGGCCATTTAGATCAGGTAGAAGCATTTCCACTATTTGCTGGTGTAAGGTAGCTGATATACGTAGACGGACCCGGCACATCTGTATACTCTCCCTGATGAGGATGGATGACACACTATCGTATAGATGTTCCCAGACGGCAATCTCAGAAAGGACAAATGAATACTACCTCAGTGCATCCTTCTCATCTTTAGACATCCTGAATGTATTACCATCATCATCAGTAGCTTTGAAGTAGGCCAATAGAAGCATCTCATATGCTAGAAGATCCCTGATTATAACACGAAACAAGAGTATGCTGATCTATCCCAGCTGTTGCTGCCAGTTCTACCATTGGTTATCCTCCATTTTAAACCAGGTTAGGTCCCTAGATGGAGCCTCCCCCTCAGCTAGAACAGGAAGCGGCAGTACCTAATCACACCGTCCCGTCCCCGAGAGGAACCCTCCAGGAGACCCTACATGAAGCCGTTCATGCTTCTCTGCCACCGCGACTTTGAAGTCGCGCATTTCATGCACTAGGAATGACTGTTCATCATTGTTGGGTAGAGGCAGAGGGAATGTATAGCGTAGCATATGATCCTATCCAGAGACGATTCGTAATATTACCAGTACTTCATACAGCCTCCTATTGCTATTACATTGTAGCCTCCATCTGGTAGTACTGGTTGACCGCCAGTCTCCAGCTCATCGGCTGGGGTTAGCTTAGCATGCATTAATCCCAAAGCATCTGATCAAAGGATTGCTGATAGACCTCTACCCAGACGATACTGCTAACGACAATGATCCTGCTAGAGACGTTCTAATAGATGAGAAAAATTAGACTGCCAACGCGTATTCCGAGTGATCAGATGTATTGCAGTTGTGGAATGTAGTGAAGCAATGATAGCTGTCCTACTACCTCGCTGACGTAGCCGATCTAATTCGTCTCGGATCTCAGCTATCTGACTGTTCAGCAATACAATTCTCTCCTCCTTTAACGTGAGCATATCTGAGAAGACACTGGGTGAACCTTAGCTGAGAGATCTCTACTACCCGTCTCGGTAGATTTGTAAGCATCAGCCGA